GTTTTCTTTATGCTCAACATTAAGCTTGCCTTAGCACTTTCTTCTTTGTGTTCATAGAATCATAGAGTTGGAAGAGACCACAGGTCTCATAATACAAGGACTGTCACTGGCCCTTCATTCTTTGCTTGATCTGGTATATCGTCTGTCATTGCCAACTAAGTACATATGTAATCTCACTCCATGCTCAGTGAGAGGTAACATCCTGTAGTTTGCTGTGAAACTGCTGGGGATGGATTGAATGAACTCGAGCTCCAGTCTCAATTCAATTGTGGGTTTTCTGGACTGGCTTTGGACAAAATCCTACTGTGTTCAGTTTTCCATCTGTCAAACAGAACTTCTGCTGGCTTCCCTGATAAGGAACAGATAAGGGGACAATGAAATGCTTGGGATCAGATTTATAGCACAGTTAAGTGACAGAATGCATCTAGTGCACGGTGAGAAAAGATGCCAAAAGGCCTGGAAACTAACCTCTTTGAAGAAGTTGAGTATATTTAATGTGGAGAAGGCTAGGACTGTATAATGGTTTAAGTAGGACTCTGGGAGACTAGTCACTATATTATGCCAGGCTTGTAAGATGTCACAATCTCATTAGTCTAGCAAATGCAAACATACTGGGTTGGAAACAATAATTATCACATAGCTCTTCAAAAGTGTGATGGTGCTGCCTCTGTCCTGACCTCTGTCTCTTGCACATGGCCTCCATAGTACTGTCTCCCTGGCCTAGCCCTTTCCCAGCATGCCCTTCATTCTGTATTTATATATTTTTTAATTTGTAGTGCAACTGCACAGTAATGACAATCCATTAGGTAAAAAAAATAAAGAAAGAAAAGAAAGAAAAGAAAAGAAAAAGAAAAACAGCCTGCTTGGGAACAGTGTGGATGGGGAGAAGAGCAGAATCATGCCTACTTGCACCACATGCCTGCTTATCACAACTGCAGCAGGAGGAACTTAAAAGTTGAACAATAGTGCTATTAGTGTGGTATTGTGATAAAGTCCTAGGGTTCAAATCCTCACTTGGTCAATCACAATTTTTCAGTATCAGAGGAAGGCAATGGAACTCTCATCTGAAAAAATTTGCCCAGAAAGCTCCATGATAGGTTTGCCTTAGGGTTGCCACAAGTCTCAAACAACTCAAAGGCATATACCAATGAAGGCTGAAAGGAGGTATGATAGTGATCCATAAATATATGAAGGACTGCCATGGAGAAGATGGAACAAACATGTTTTCCGCCGCTCCAGAGGACAGAATCTGAGTTGGTGGATATAACTGATTTTTAAAAAGGAGATCTTTCTTTCTGTTGGCAAGAATGGACTGCTTTGGAGGATGGTGAGGTCTCTTCCTTCTGAGGTCTTTGAACAGAGGTTAGATGACCATCTGTCAGGGATGCTTTAGTTTTGGATTTTCTGTATGGTTTGGGGGCTGGAGTAGATAACCCTTTGAATACCTTCCAGCTCTACAATTCTGCAATTTTATGATTCATTCTCTAATGAAACAAAAGAGTTTTCTGTCCTCACCCAGGTCTCTTTAGCAGAACACTACAAATCTTTTCCCCCAAAAACCATGGCTGGGGAGCAATTAGTGTCTCTTTTTGTTCATTAATAATGAGTGGTGACTCTGCTAATGAGCTCCAGTCTCTTTTAGAGAGTGCTTTTTAAAAAAGGGTTATTTCTCTTTTTTGACATGGGTTCACTTACAAAACAACAACAATGCACAATTTATCTCTCTGCCTATTTCTTTCTCCTTTTTTTGTTTTGTTCTGTGGTTGGGGATTTTAAAGAAGTGAAGGGATTGCAGGGTAGCAGGCTGTGTAATGCTGCTCCCTCTAACCATTCATCTTTGTCAACCTCTGATTTCATTTCTAGCTGTTGTTCACCACCTTTCTTCTTCCTCCTCCTTCTCTTCTTCCTCCCCTGTTTTGCCTTTTCTGCCCTCCACCCTCCCCTTTTCCTTATTATTACATTTCTGAGCTCAATCATGCAAAAAATTACATGATTACATAGATTTAGCTGTCTCTGGTCTCATAACACCTGCCCTGCTTAGTCTGTCTGTAACTGTTCAA